GCCCAGGCCTGGCTAGCCACAAGCGCTCGCATCCGCGTCTGTGCCGAGCCCCAGGTGCTGGAGATTGACACCTTACTAGGCCTGTCTGCAGACACAACCGGCAAGGGGAGAGGGAGGTTTGGTCTCACACCAGCCTCTGGCTACATGCAGATCCCTTGCTCTCAGCTGCTGTCTGCGTTAAACACATGGGAGGCTGCTGGGGGTGAAATGCCTGGTGGTCTCTCCAGCTTTCCATCCTGAACGTCCCAGTTGCAGGCTGTAGAGTTACAGAATGCAATACTGGATCCAACTGGGGGTAGGGGGTCCACCTAGTCCAGTACCCTGTCTCTGACAGGGGCGGTTGTGGAACACCCTGCCCCACGGAAAGCTTCCTCCTAACCCTATTAGTTACAGGCTGGCTTCTGCCATGAAGCATTAGGGTTTATAGTCCTTCCCAAACTCCAGTTGTTGTTGGTATTTATTATTATAACTCTGCGTATTGTTGTTACCCAATGAATGCCCCTGCCTTTTATGAATGCTGCTAAATGGGATTTAACAACAACATGTGACAGTGAGTTCCACAGGCTAATTGTGCATTATGAGAAAGAATGTTTCCTCTTACCAGGTTTGAATTTGCTGTCTTTTTACATCACTGTCACCTTGTTCTTGTGTTAAGAGAAAAAGTGGATAGAATTCTGCTCCTGATCTCCCCTCTTTGTCCCAGTCATTGTTTTATAGATTTTGATCATGTTCCCTCTTGTCTATTCTCTAACGTACACAATCCCAATCTTTTCAACCTGTCTCCATATGCGAGCTTGCCTGGGCCCTGATCATTCTCACTGCCCTTTTCTCAACCCCTCTAGTTCTGTAATATCCTGTATGAAACGGGGTGCCCTGTGCTGGTGAGACTGTCAATCATTTATGGAATGGCATTATGACAGTCCATATTATTCTCCATCCCATGCCTTCTGCAGCCAAACACTGTTTGCTTAGTTGAGCACAGCTGCACACTGAGCAGAGGTCTCCACTGAGCGGCTCGCGGTCATGCCTAGGTTTGTTTCCTGAATTGATACAGGTAATTTAGAATCCAGTAACGTGTCTGAATAGTTCAGGTGATTCCCTTCTGTGTTTATTATTTTGGATTTTTCAACACTGAATTTCATTTGCCATCTTGCTGCCCATTCTCCTCGCTGGATTAGTTCCCTGTGACGCTCCTCACGGTTCTCTCTAGTTCTGACTAACCTCGCTGTGCTGCCAACTCCCCTGATTTTACTGCAAGTCTTACGGTGGTTTTTACAAAGCTCTGACTCCTGAATCATGGGCGCAGAGGAGCGGCTCAGCTTCCTTTGTTCAAAAGAGGAAGGCCGCTGGCACTTGTGGCTGTGGAAAAGCTCGACAATGGGACCTAACGGCGCAAAACCTAAAGTCTGAATGTGACCTAAAGGCTCAGGGACCAGAAGGCAAATACAAAGAACCCCCATTGGTTACTTGTTTCAAAATCTCATGATTTTTACGCTGCTCTTGGGCCTGGCTCATGAGTTTTGATCATTTGGGGCTGGCAACACTGGCTCAGCCACTCTCATGCTGACATCGTTACCCCAACGAGCACCACTGCCAGGCTCTAATTAGCATGGCCAGGCCACATCTTCGGGGAGGCTCACCCCAGGCCATGCTCGTGATGGGTCTGTCCCGTGGCCAGCCTTGCTCAGGGGTGCAGGTTAGATGAGACTGGCCTCGGCTCAGGTTTTCCCAGGAGCACCCATTGCTGTGGTAGCTGCCCTGGGGCTCCGTTCATGTGCCAGCTGGAGGATGGGGCGGGACAATGGAATGGGGGCGGGAGACTTTAGTTTTGGGCCCCGCCCCTGTCATAGGCCACGCCCCGGGCCACAGACCCCCGCCCCTCTGGCACGCAGGCCCCACCCCTGCCAGAGGCCGCGCCCCTCGGCTATACAGCTGCTCCTCCCTCTCCGTTGATGGCCCCGCCCACTGCCACACGCCCCGCCCCTCTGGCAC